TGCTTAACTCTGTGCTTGGATTTTTCCAAGGCTAATGAATGTTTGCAGACATCAGTGGTTTCTCCTGAGGTGAAGTGGAAGCCTTCATAGGTGTAATACCCTAAATTTTGGTTAGTGATCAAAATATAATTTTTAAAAGTTTAGTAGTCAAAGTATAGAAGTAGGAAAAGTTTAGGGATCTAAGTGGTAATTTTCCAAAAATATTTTTTATTCCATAAATAGATAATTTATTTTTGAGAGTGAAGTTTTATTGAAATAAGATTCTTGATCCATAATTTATGTTGAAAACTAGAAAGGGTTAAAATCTAGTAAGACATCGGTAAATCAAATCGAATAGAAATTTCAAGAAAAATTGAAGGATGTTAGGCTTAAAAATATTATTTCACATTTTAAAATGATGGAAAATAATATAGACCATTGGATTTGAGGATTTAATTCCATGTTAAATTTAGATCGTTAGATTAAAATAGCAAGATTAAATTTTTTGGAAAGTTGCATGGACAAAATAATAACGGGTGAAATAATTTGTTCATCTTTGACTTTTGGAAGATGATAAGGTTGATGTGGCTTGGTTTGATTGTAATTATGAAGTTTCATTAAGGGTAAATTAGTCTTTTCACAATTAAATGAATATTAAATTCATTAAGCTTAAATAAAGCTAAATTAACAAGAAATTAAGTTTGGAAATTTCATGAAACTTAGCCTAAAATCAGCCACCAAGCCGTGAGTCTCCTCCAAAGGTAAGAAAAATTTTCTTTTCAATTTTTAAGTAATTTCCTTTGGTTTTTAGATAGTGATGTGAAATAGAAAGTTATTACACGCGAAAAACGCTATCATTTGGTTTACATGTTAATCTTGCTTGTGTTGAAAGATCCCAAATTTTAGGGTTTATGTTCACATTAGAGTTTATAGAATTGATGAAGGATTTTGATTTTTTGAGGTTATAGAATCATATACAAGCATGATTGATGATTAAAATCACTTGTACATGGCCATATAAGCTCATGTTGAATTCAGCCAAACCCTAGCTTTAGGGGAAGATGTATTTTGATGAAATTAATTTAGAGGTTTGATTGTTGAGGTCTTGAAATGTTGAATAAAGGTTGGTTTCATGCTTGAATCAAGTGAAAATCATGAGATTTACACCCTAAAGCATTCGACCTTGAGGAAATAAGTTGGGAAAAATTGTAGAAAATTCCCATGGGTTAGAAATGATATTTGGAAGGTTCTACAAACCTTAGAAAAAATTTTGGGCTAATTTGTAATTTTTCAAAAATTGAGGGACTTATTCGGCAATTTTAAAAATTTATAGGCTGAATGTGTAATTATTCAAAAGATGATGTACATTTTTGGAAGTTTCTGTTTGAGGGCTGAAATTAAAGTTGGAATATAAAATTTAGCGATTTTGGAAAGTTTGAAAAGTTTAAGTACAAAATGACAAATATTGAAAAAGTTAGTGACTTAAGTAGTAAATATGACATTGTTGAGATATTGGGCTGAAAATTAAATGTTGGAAAAACATTAGGTTTTTTTTGAGTTTGAATTGAAGAATTTATGACAATAGCCCATTATGAATAAAAAAGAAAAATTAAGATGAATTTTAAAAGAATTTGAAAATAATAGTATTTTTTAGTATTATTATTTTGTAAAAAATGTTAGTAAGGATACTAATATTGTAATTTATATTTGCATGTTTGATTATGGATGCCTGTGTAGATCATGATCAAATTTGTGATACAAGCAGATCAAAAGGTAAGGAAAAAGTTCAAGAATAGTCGGATTTTGTTAGCAAGGCATAAGAGTGAGACATACCAGGTGAGTGCATTTATTATGTACTTAAAAGATATGAGAACGACTTGTGATGAGTCAACCTTGAATGTTTTTATAAAATCATGTTTTATCGTATTTTGAAATATTTTCATAAAGTTTATGAAAATAATTTTATGAAATAATTTTAGGGCATGAACTGTCCTAAAATAGATGGATGAACTTTTATATTATTTTAACAACTATCGATGTTTCATAATAAATGTTTAATATGTGAATTTGATTTAAAGGCATATTGTATGCGCATTGAGTGAGAGTCATAAGTGCATTTCGACATACTTGGAGTATGATGATTATCGATCGATTTTGTTTAATGCATATGTTGCATTTTCGTATTAGTAACTTTATGTACTTTCGGCACTATGTGTGCATTCATAGTATTCATAATGAGTTTGTGAATTACTATTTCGATATATTAGTATAGTGTCGTTACTACAATACTTATACTTTCGTTTAGCACTTATGTACAACCCATGTACCTTGCACTCTCATTTGACATACATTGGGCTATGAATGAATACTTTTGAATATATCGATTGATAGGTATGTTGGACATATTAAACATTGTTTCGTAGGTTATTTGACGGAAACTTTACTTATCAAGTCAGTTTTATGTATTTATGTATTTTATATGATAAATCATATTTTGATCTTATGATGGTTTACTCATGTTTTTAAAATGTCTTATTTATGTTATTATGTCTCACTAAGTGAATACTTAGTGTGTGATGGTTTCACGCGTAGATAATAGCGTACAATCGGAGTAAGGAGTGCAACTGACATCGTAAATTAAAGATTGTCTCATCAGTAACTGTATGACATCTTTAGATGTTTACTTTTTGATATTACTATTTGGCATGTATTAATCATATGATGATGCTCTAGTATGTATTTGACATATGGGTTGTAGTAGTATATTATGTTCAAACTTTATGGCTATTTTACATATTAGTAGTTAATCAACGTTTATAATATTATTATATTAAATTGTTTAACTTAAAGAAACAAAATTTTATTGGTTTTCAAATATAAAAATGTTTTAAAAGTCACCTGATATTTATAACTCGTGTACGAAAAACGAGTGTTACAAGAGGGACAAGCTGTCAAAGCGAATTTTGATGCTCGGTTCTCGCCACAATCAAAACTTGCTTGGTTAGGAGTGATTAAGGAATAACGAATGCCTTATTTTAGTCGCATGTAGAAGGAAAAACGGTTTTGTTACCTCGGCTTTCACGGCTAGAGCAAAGGCCGCCGTGCATGCGGTGGAATTGGCGATGGACATCGACTTTCAAAATGTTATGGTGAGGGTGACTCAAAAACGGTGATAAACAAACTGCAATTGAGCGAAGATGATATATCGGAGATAAGTGCACTGATATGGGAAGCAAAAAGGAGAGCTGATCAATTGCATGCGTGTAAGTTTACCTTTACAACAAGACCGACGAATAAAGATGTGCACATTCTGGCAGCCGATATTTGTCTTGGAACGGAGGATTGCTTCTGGGTTGAGGAGGGGCCGCGCTGCGTGGAGGTCCAAGTAGCAGAGGATAGTCGAGGGATCGTCTCACCGTAGCTGTTGTGTTTTGTTTAGGATCATGCTTTGGCTCTATTCTATTTTGTTTGTTTCTTCTTCTCTGTTCGTGAAATGTTTTGAAGCCGGTGAAGGTATAAGATGAAAGGCCAGTTGAGTTTTCTGTTTTGGTTTAGTTTTTGCTGCTTTGATTTTTTAGTTGTTGAGTGGTCTGTCTAGCTGTATCCCACAACTGGTTTAGAAACGTTTGGTTAATTATAGCTGGCATTTACACGTTTGGTTGATTGATAAATTTATTATAAATGATATTAATTAATTTATTACAAATCGATAAGATTAGTGACTAATATGTTATTTTTGAAACTTCAATGAAAAATAATAAAATTTACTCAAACATTAGTAATTATTATTATAGTTTACCCAAAAGTTAATTGTATTTTGTATTAATTTTTAGGGTAAATTATGAGTTTAGTACATAAACTATCAATTTTTATCTGTTTAAATACCTAAATTTTTGTTTTTTTCAAAATCATACCTAAAGTTTAGTTTTTGTTTCATTTTAATACATTATCGTTAAAAACTTTAGTTTTTTTCATTTTAGTAACCCGTTCAAATTTCAACGTTAAGCTTTAAAAAAATTGAAAGTTTATGTTTTAAAACGGATCAAAACTGATAGTTTATGTATTGAACGCATTAAGTTTTAATAGTGAATACTAAAATGAAATGAAAACTAAATGTTATGCATAGTTTTAAAAACAATTAAAAATTTAGATAATTAAAAAATCAAAACTGATAATTTAGGTACTAAACACGTAGTTTACTCTAATTTTTAATTGACAAAACTACCCCCTGTTCCCTCCATAATCCCCCTCTTCCAATTTTCCGCCGATTTCAATGCTCGTATTTTCGTTGCTAACAATGGAGAAACTGAAGCAAGCAGTGAAAGAGATCGCCTATAGCCAAAACCAAGCTAAGTTATCCAATCTTCATCGCTCTCTTATTCCTTTCCTTTCCTTTGCTTCGTCTCTCTACGGCGCCGTTCTCTATATTCGTCATTCCCTTTACCGCTCTGGCTTCTTCTCTAAGAACAGGTCCGATAATATATTGAAGCTTAGTTTGAAGGAAACTAAAAAAAAAGTTCAATTTTTGTTTAAATTATTTTGTGGGTTTTTATTTTTGAAGCTTGCTGGTAATCAGTGTTGGAAATTTGACGTGGGGAGGAAATGGAAAGACTCCAATGGTTGAGTTCATAGCGAAGCGCTTAGCTGATTATGGAATTTCATCTCTCATTTTGACAAGGGTAATCTTTCTTATCGGGACTACTTTGATTACTTCATTTGATGTTTCATATGGTAGCTGTAAATTTATACTGGTGTTCTGATTGGGAAGATTGGACATTTGATTTAAGTAAGTTTGAGTGGATTGTAATTGTTTTGTGTTTTTCAATTTCAATGTTTAGTGGCAAAGAATAGAGCTAAATTATGTTTCTCAGTTGCTTTCACTTTCAATACAGCTAAACATTGTTTCACTTTCTCATTCTTGAACAAAAGATGTGTATATTCGGCTTGTATGTTTGTAGCCGAACTATGTCAAGGAGTTGTCTAAAAGCTCGTACTTCAAAAACTTGGCAGTTTCGGAACAAAAAGTCTAAGATTTAGGAGTTCAAGAAATCAAGGAGTCGCTTCCTATTTTTTGTACCAGAATGGCTCCCTCGTATTTCTTTGAACCGAGAAATATAAGCACAAAGTTGCATTTGGAAGTGTTGCATGATGCAGTCGTATTATGTGTTTCTGCAATTGGTTCTCCTGATGCTTTTGTGCTGGCGGTAGAAAAGGTTTTACTATTTTATCTTTTGTTATCTCTTTTCCGGTTTAATTAACATGTCATGCATAATGGACCATTATTTCTCTATTATAGTTTTTTTACAGTGGTGAATGACTTGCTGCAGATTGGACCGTTACTTGTCTATCGAATCGACTTCAATGACCATCACTCATTTGAGATCGAGGTAAAGCACCCCTTCTCCTTTATATCCCAGATTTATTTTCCGAGCAATCATGTTCTCATTTCACGATGTCAAATGAAAACTAGGATATTCATATGATAAGAAAGCGGCTTAGACAACTTGAGTACAAGTTCGGTTATAAACCGATTGTTGTAATTACAGAAAAGGTGAGTAACCAAGAAAGCTGGTTTCAGTAAATGCAGAAGATTTCCCTTAAAACGAATCCTTTAAGCATGTTAAACTTGATTTTACCAGGACTATGATCGAGACCCCGAGATCCTGAAACATTTGCATCCTTTTCGAGTTCTCGTACTCTGTTCCGAAATGCAGATTTTACCTCGTAAGGGATGCGACGAGGATTGCTTCAGGTAGCTATTGAAGGAGCTACTTGAAGTGTAAATGCGTATCAGATGCGGATTAAACTTCTGATTTTAGACAGAGTAGTAATTGCTCATGCTATGCAGTGACCAAAGTTGCTTTAATGAACACTGAACCAGCAACATATTCAAAGAGTTTAGATTGTCTTTGTTCTTGCACCTTAGTGTTTAATTTAGGTTTTAGTATATCCGGTTCGGTTCAATTTATAAGAATGCCCATTTGGAACTATCGGAAAATTGCATACAATGGGAAAGTAATTTGGTAGTGATAGTTATGCGTTTGCCTGCTTTAAAATAAAAAAAAAAAGGTAAACTACCTCAGACTCAGATACCATTGAACTTTAAGCATTGTATCGTTTGTACCATTGAACTTTTGATTTTGTCAATTATAGAACTGAACCTTGATTTTTGTTTCAATTATACTTCTAGGTTGATAAATCGTTAACAGTCAGATCAAAATGACGTCGTTTTGGTGAGGTGTCTACGTCGACAGTTGTTAGCCACGTCATCATGTCGTTAATGATTTAACAGTTTAGTAATATAAGAGATTAAAAAATAAGAGGTTAATTAATTTAATTTTATTATTTGATAGTTTAATTAATTTTAATTTTTTTATTTAAGAGGTTAATTAGGTGTAAAAAAAATAAGAGATTTAATAACATACTTTTTAAAAAGTATATAAAACTTCATACACCTTTGATTCTATATATATATATATAACATTTTTTATTCAAATGAATAGAGTTGGAATATCTTTCTTTCTCAACACTTACATCTTCCACTCCCCACTACTAAACAAAAGCCTTTTCCTTCAAAATATAAAAGACTTGCACTGAAAACAAATGGAGAGCAGAGGTTTTATGGAAAAGAACTTGTTGTTATCGTTCTTCCTCTCTGTATTAAGCTTGACGGTGGGATTATCGAGGGCTCAAATGGTGCCGGCGATGTTCGTTTTCGGGGACTCCTTGGTGGATGTCGGGAACAACAATTACCTTCCGGTCTCCATCGCCAAAGCAGATTTTCCTCACAATGGAATCGATTTTCCCACCAAGAAACCAACTGGGAGGTTTTGTAATAGCAAGAACACAGCAGATTTTCTTGGTAAGTACTAATCACAACTGATAAATGTTTTTTATATATGTTTTAGTTGTGTTTCAATGTAAAGCAGTGGAAAATAAACATGCAGTCATGCAAAATAGTAATAAAATAATTATTTTTTTGGGGCAACATTTTCTCAAAGTTAAATTTTATTTATATAATAAAAAATATTAAACATTAAAATTTAAATTATGACATAATAAAATATAAAAGTAATATTTTAATATATGAATTACCAAATTTAATAAAGCTTTGGTGATTAATTATTTTCAAATATAAAATGTATTGTTATTTCAAAATATTCATTAGTATGTGTGCTTTAATAACAACGAAAAGCAAAAAGGTTATAACGACTAAAGTTTTAAGAGTATTGATGCTCAGCTCATGTGGATTGAATGTATAAAAAGTTTTTTTTTTGAATAATCTGTGGTAAGTATATGGTAGTATCTATTCAAGGATAACTCTTAACCTTTTAATATTGATCGCTTACACCTGACATCTATAACATTGACATCTATAACATTGAATAATATTCTTTAACTTTTTTTAAATAACCTTATATTTAACATTGAATTTCATATGTATAAATATCACATTGACAGCTGAAAAATTAGGGTTACCAAGTTCACCACCCTATATTTCCTTGTCAAAGAAGAAAGATGCATCATCGTATATAAACAGTGTTAGCTTCGCCTCCGGCGGCGCTGGAATCTTCAACGGCACAGATCAAACTTTCGTAAGCCACGAAAATCCGAGATATGCCACATCTTAAACTTTACTGCATGAACTAATTGCTTTTCAAACCGAACTATTAGGGTTTTCTGTTTCATGTGCTTTTTTCAAATTTCTATTGACCAGCGTCAATCCATAACATTGTCAAAACAAGTGGACAACTACATCGCAGTGCTGAAATTTTTGGTACAGCAAATGGGACCACCTTCCACAGAAAATCACCTTTCAAAGTCTCTCTTCACCATCGTCATCGGCAGCAACGACATCTTCGACTACTTTGAATCGTCGAATCTTCGAAAGAAGAACACCCTACAACAATTTGTTGACTTGATGGCTCAAACCCTAAAAGGACAACTCAAGGTAAACTAATTAGGTGATATAGCAAATAGTATTGTAAGTACTTGATCCTAAAAATTTCCACCATTTTTTTTCAATAGAGACTATACGAATACGGTGCTCGTAAACTCGTTCTCACCGGCATTGGAGCGATAGGGTGTGTACCGGAAGTAAGGGTTGAAAACGAAACACATGAATGCAGTGAAGAACACAAATTTTGGTCTGTCAGGTACAATGAAGGAATGAAGGCAATGTTGAAGGGATTAAAATCAGAACTTCAAGGCATAAACTACTCTTACTTTGATACTTACAGTGTCATGCAAAATGTGATCCAAAAACCATCTTCTTACGGTACGTATACATACATACATAGAAGCTAAAATATGAGAGTTTTGAACTTGGGGATTTGAAAGCTAAAGTGCCTTGTGTGCCCGTTTCCATGTATTGCTACAACAGGAACGATCATGTTTTCTGGGATTTGTATCATCCGACCGAGGCGACGGCTAGGGTTTTCGTGGATAATATTTTTTATGGTCCTTCACAATACTGTATCCCAATGAATGTCAGGCAATTAGTTTCAGTTTGAAACTTATAGTGAATGATCAATAGCTTGCAGAGTTACAGTACTCGGAGAATGAGATTATGCTAGCATAATACGAATACATGAAATATCTTGTTTTAATAATAATTATCTTACAAAAATTTGAATATTTTTTATGCGATTTTAAATTTATTTTCATGTATTGCGTATATTTCTCTTATCAATAATGTTTTCTTAAAATATCAAAGATTAATAAATGTAAACAATATTTGATTTTGATTTGAATTGTGATACATAAATAATAAAAATGAATTAAACTCAATTTGCACCTAAAGTATTTCTTAATATTTTAATTTTTAGAAAACTAAAATTTTAAATTATTGTTTTTATAAAAAAAATAAAGATAATTTTAATAATAAAATCACTTATTGCACGAAACTTGAAAATATGGTGTATCGTTTTAATAATAATAATATATATATATATATATTATAATAAATAATGAGTCGATGTGATCCAAGTTATTGATTATTTCATGAACCAACGTTGTCTTGGTCTTTAAATAGGCCTTTTCAAACTCTATTGTAATTTTAAATTAAATTTCAACTTTTTACTATTAATTATGTTTTTCTTTTTTGTAAGAGCATTTATTCGACAAATATTATTGTTATTATAATATTTAAAAAATATAAATTTATAAATGTTTAAGCGTGTTGTCTCTGATTTAAATTGCAAAATAATATGACTGATTTGTAAATAATATCTAAAAAATCTAATATTTATTATTTAAGGAAATATGAAGCTTATTTTTAAATTTTTGTTCATTTTAAGCTAATTTATTTTTCTAAAACTTATAAATCTCTTGAAGTAGTAAAATTCATAAAATAAAAAAAATTGAATTAGCATTTTATTTATAAAAAAGAAAAGCGATCGAGTTTGACACATTATATCATGTTAACCTAAAAGTGTTAGGTGCTACATGACATCCAAGACGTGTTGACCATTTAAAACACGACAAAATCTTTTATGATTACAATGAAGATTTATTTATAAAATCAAGTGGGCGACGTTTCTGATTACTATGTTGGTTTAAGGATGTTAACAATGTCAAATTCTTTTATTAGTCCATATAATATAAATAAATCATAAATTTGGTCCCTATATTTTAATTCGATTATTTTTAATCATTATATTTCAAAAAAAATCAATCCTAATTTAAATAGTAGACATAAAATCTATTAAATCAAATGTTGCTTTTTATTTTTTTTAATACACACAACTTTTAAGTTTAGTTAATGTTTTCTAATTCTAAGTTCATGTAATTTAATTATATAATATTTAGAACCTATTGAGTGACATCGATGGAAAAAGAGAGTATTATTCTTCATAGAGGATTTGAATTTGAATATTTATGTCTATAAGATGTGTACACTGTCAATGACTACGAAAAATTATGAATAGATGTCACATTGAAATCACCCTAGACTATTCATAAAACATTATATTATCTCTAATATTATTTGAATTAGAACTAAAAATTTAAATTTTAAAAATTTAAGATTAAAATTGACTAAAAATACAATATAGGATTCAATCCAAAATTTATGCATAATATAAGGACCAATAGTAACATTTCACCCATTAACAATATGCTTTGGGAACGCCAAATGATTGGTTCAATTTACCACAATTAGCTCCTTCATTTGTTTTTTTTGGGTCCAAAATCTCCGTTATTTTAATATATTCGGTGATTAATATTACTAAGTCTAGATATAAATATTTTTATTGTTAATTTTATATATTGGTTGAAAGTCTTATTTGTTTATTTTTCCTGTTTTTTAAACTAAAAAAAGTAACCTAACCTCAAGTACAGAAAACAAAATAAAAAAAATAATATTTAAATATAATATTTGTTAAATAGTTTTCAGTTTTTTTTAAAAAATTTAAATACATTTTCCACTCGGTTTTGTTCTTCACCAAAGGAATCCCCTGCTCTATCTGAATATATATAAAGGAAACCACCATTTTGATCCATTTCCATTTTAACAAATTATCGCCATATTTTGCTCTTCTTCCTCTTACCGCTCCGAATCTTAAAGCGCGCACCGACGGCGCACGATATGGAAGCTCCGTCGTTTGTCTCCAGAGCAAGAATCGCTCTCCACTCCGCAGCTGCCAAAGCCGAGAGAGTTCTCACTGATTTGAAATCCGATCTAGGTAAATTTGAAAATCTCTATATTTTTGGTTGTAAATATCTATTGCAAAATTTTATTGTTATTATTTTTTCGCTTTGCTATTTTTAGATTCATTTTTATCATTTTCCGGTCTTTATGATATTGTTATTAGATATTAATGACGGATATATATATTTTTGGTTTGGTTGCTGTTCGTTTGGTGAAGATTGTGAATTATCATATCCGAATGAATTCAAAAATGAATCTCCGACGAGAGAAGACGAGTCTAAGGTAAATTTTTGTTGAACTTTGGATCTGAAATGTATCCTTCTTTTTAAGCTGAAATGTAGGATTAGGCTGTTTAGCCTGTTTTAGTTTCGTAGTTGTTATTACTATCTTTAGATGATTGTTGGAACCTTTTTTGGCTGCTGAGAAAATGAATAAAGTTTAGAGGTATGTTTGACTTATTTGAGTATTCGAGTTTAGTTTAGTTTAGTTTACTTGGAATTGAATTGGAGGATTTGCAATTCGTATGCTATTTAGTTTCCCTGCACTTTTCCAGCTACCGAACTAGGCTTCAACATTCTGCCGAGTACTTAGTATGGTGAATTTTGTTGAGTTCTTTTTGCACTTTTTGTTTTCCCTGATAATCCATGTAAATTAATAAATTCTTCTTCAACACATATTTACTTGTTTTAGCATTAACATCTGTGTGGTGTGAAGCAGAGTATTCATGAGATAAAGCATTCCAAGTGGATGCCTGCAAATCTGGGAACCAAGCAAGAATGGCAGGAAAGATTTAAGAACATACGACTAGGGAGAAAAGGAGTTGAAGATTCAGAGAAAGTTGAAAATTCAACAACAACTGTTGCATTCTATGATGAAAACTTGTACTTTCTAAAAGTAAAGAACGATACCGAATCAAAGGTACATTTATGATTCTATTTATTTTTGCTCTCCTGCAAGTGAGGGTTGCTGTAATGAGAATTAAAATGTCTATTTTCTGTTCTAATAAAATTCAAATGAAGGGACTTCTTACTGAGATTGTTGTCCTACAGGCTTTAGAAGCAATTCCCTCTGTAGACATTATAAATACCATGAACGCCATTAACATTCCTCCAACATCTGTTATCAAGCAATTAGCTTTAGCCATTGAGTAAGTCTTTCGATTCTTGACTTCGGTTGTTTGTTTTCTGCTATTGCTGACATTGAAATTCATTTGATGCCTCATGAAATATGCTGATTTGTAGATTGTTACCTTTATTGGAATTTACTTTCTGGACCATTAACACTGCTTTGCCGTACTATTTAATCTTTTGATGCAAAATATTTCTTGTTTCTGAGATCATTTTAAGTGGTCAAATGTGTGATCTATTTAATTGTTATAATTCAGCTTGTGTATGGTGTTCTTATCTTTTTGTGCTTGCCTTTTGGTTACAGGGCTGGAAGTAATTTTAAATCTATGAAAGATCTTTTGGCATCTTCTGGAAATTCTTCACCCGTGAAGGAAAGGACAGGCCTGAGCTTCTCTGCAGTGAAGTCTTTAGTTCTTCGAGACAAAGAGGATAAACTTGCATCCGACTTTGGTGATGACGCGAGGGTGCTTGCTTTGATTCATTCACTGTTTGATACAGGCAGGTTCTGTATGTGACTGATGGGACATTTTTTTTTGCTAGGAGATATGTTTCTCTTTAAACCTTGACCTTTTTTATTACGGTCTTCCAATTTTTTTGTAACATCCGCAAGATATTTGCAGATGGGGACATCCTCCAAAGGGATCTTGTTTCTGATTCAAACACATCTACAACAATGATATCTTTGCCAAAAGACATTCATGCTGCTCCTCCACATAGCTTCGTTGTTAAGCTTTCTGAAGTCATTGGAAGCTTTAGTACCCTTCGTAAAATGGCTCTCTTTTGGTGCAGGGTTGTTACTGAAGTAAGTCGGTTATGCAGAATCTGTACTAAAATGAATGGTCAACATAGAAAAGAAACTAAAATCCTTCATTGGCACATTTTTATGCTTGTAAAGTCTGTTTGCCTTATAGATTTTGTTAATCTTCATCTAATGAAAAGTGTTTGGAATCCTTTAATCATGCAGTTAAGAAGATTTTGGTTTGAAGGTAGACATCTGCCAGGCATTCCTGTAGATGAGACTCCTGATCTAAATTCATGTCTTCTATATCAACAAATACAAGTTATTAATTGTTGTATATCAAGAAAAAGACGGCATAGCATTGCCACTGAATCATTTGATTCTGGAATGGAGGAAACTAGTTCAAATGTTGAAGAACCAGATGATGCTATAGGCAAAGTGGTTGCAACCTCTGCATTATATGCACGAATTAGTACTGGAGAACTTGTCCTTCGACAGGGAGCAAATCAACTGGCTGAAAATATGACCATGTTAGAAACTGGTGAACCTATATACTCACCTATTACTCAGGTTTGGTTGCTGATTCAGCTAACAGATTGCTTACCGTTTGAACCTATTCCTGTGGTTCACTGTGTCATATATGACTGTAGGAAGGACCATTGCTTACAGAGGACCTTATCAAGGAAACAGAGGAGTTAGTGCTTCGTACAGGGAGGTCAGTATATTGACCAAACACCCTTTAACCTTTGTACGTTTTATATAGATTTCAAAGGATAGAATTCTTACTATCTTCTTCTAGTGGTCATTGTTTCACTGCGTAAGATTTGTTTATGAATCATAATATTATTAAGGTTCTCCTGTTTGATTTAAAACTGATGTTATCTTTCAGGATTAACCTATCTAATGCGGTTATGCATGTTGAGTCTTTTTTATTATTTTCAGATCTTTTCCATATTCTTATGTACACATCAAAGCTTTTGAGTGAAAATTGCACATTTTTCCTCTGCTGTCATATTACTCAGTCGGCTATTTATATTATTCTTGTGATTCTTTTACTCATTGCCTTATCTTTTGATGGCCAGTGTTGGTGCTGGGTGTTCTCAACTCCTCTCAGACATGCAGGCTTTCAAGGTATATTTTAGCACAAAGGAATCAGCTCTACCTTATTGCTGTTGTAGATACATATGAATGCAGAATGTTGTTTCAATCTATTTGTTACCTATCTAAATTTGCTTAACCATTTTTTAGGCTGCAAATCCTGGCTGTATTTTAGAAGATTTTGTTAGATGGATCTCTCCTCCTGATTGGACTGAAGCTGAGCCGAACCATGAGGTTAACTATTCGGTTACAAGAGGTCAACTAAGTTGCCGAATGAAAAAAGAAGGTTTTTTTCTCTTTATCCCAGTTTCCGCTACTTAATTAAGTTTGCTGCAGTTTAGTTTCTTTTTGGTCAGGTTTTACTTTTGACATGTGAACATCATTTCATTCACAATGTTTGTATATTTGCATGAACTTGTATTATGTCCTTATGTGACTCGTTTTGGGAGAATGAATACTGAATAACTTCTAAGTAGAGGGTTTTTACTTCTTGATGTATTTGTTAGACATTCTTAACCTACAGGTAGTCACTTGCTAGGACATTTCTATGGTTGATTCTGATATTTGAATTATATACATTTTAGGTAATTTGTGGCATGAACTATGGGATACAGCCAAGCCGATACCAGCCATTAAACAAACACCTCTCTTCGATGAGGATTTGGCTGTGTAAGTTGGATGGAAAGCATTTTCCGTTACAACTCTAAGGCTTTTCTATCACGGGAGTATTGTTCTTACAATAATTGCATGGGTTGTGGTTCCTGCAGGGAAGGAATTCTGAATTTCTTAGAGGACATCCCCACTTCTGACCTCTTTCAACAACTGTTTGTTTCTTTAGTAAGAATTTTGATCTGATTTTGTATGATAATTTCTTTTTCTCTCATAAATTTAAGTCGAACATGATTAGTCAACTAGTCTTTCTTCATAATGCTAATGTCTCATTTCTATAATTTTCAGCTTTCTTTGGGATTTACATTAGCCGAGGAAAAGCTTTCGGGTAATGAAAATTTGTCAAAGCTGTTCTACGAGTGCAAAGACTACGTTGTTGCGACTTGCCAGAAAAGTTTCTGGAATGACAAAATGGATGATCTTTGCCAGGTAGTTTCTGTTGTACAATGCAACTTGAATATCATGTTATATTAATGTATAATAAACTAAATGCGAAGTATTACGATGGAGTGCCTCTGTTTCGGGCACATTCGAAGTTTCCCAGTGAGGGAAATGAAGCTTTGGTTTATAAGATTTTTTTTTTCTGTTATCTGATGGTGTTCAATGTCAATAGGTGTATGAAACAGTGGAAAAGATGGTTTTGACTCCGGAAGAAGTCATAAAGACAATAAAGCAGGCAGAGGAAACGCCCGCAATTGAAAACGGAAATGGTTCTAGTGAACTAAAACGTCGGTTTAAGAGGCTCAGTCTCAACTTCGGCGGCAAGGACAAGCAGCAGCAGAGAAAATCTCCTCCGAAAGACCGGAAGGACTCCGTCGACAATCCTTCTCGATCATTTGCTAGCTTTTTTGATAGCAAGTCATCTTTATTTTCAAAGATATCCCCTAAAAATCTCCCACCTCCATCCTTAGATGGAAGTGACTGGACATTGGTTTGATGACTTGATCTTACCATTCTTTGCCACCGCCCCTCCGCATTCGCCGATTGGTTTACGCAGAGCATAGTTTTGCAGGTAATTGTAAATTATTTTTAAATGAGCAAATGGCATTAAAGTTGCTTCTTTTTTCTGGTAATATTAATGTGCATTGCTTCAACAATATGTGAAAAATGACGGTAATACAAGGAGGGAAACATAAATTGTCAGTTCTTCAATAGTCTGAGCTTGAATTTTCTGTAATCTTCATCCTCATCTTCTTTGGCTATCACTTCCGTTCGTGTTTTGGTCTTCACTACCTTGTCGAATTCCAAATACTTGGAGATGAAATAAGGCTCCACAAAATTAGCCAAGAAATGATCAACCAGAATCAATGCACTGCATTTCCATGAAAAATCCAATAAATGAAATTAACATTCTTTATGATTGAAGAGGATTGAAAAAGAAAAAGGGGCCAAATTCTATAATTAGTTTAGTATAATATATTCCATCTACTTCTAAAATGTATATAATAGTCCTCGAACTTTTAGAGTGTTTGTAGTTTGGTCATCCAACTTTTAAAACTTGCAATGTAGTCATTAAACTTTTTGTTTGTTTTCAATAAAATCCCCGCACGTTACTTTTTGCTGAAGTGGCATTTTAACTCCGTTAACCCTATTATTCTTCTTCATCTTTTCTTCTTCTCCTCCTCCTTTCACTCGATGAAGTAGACGGTTCAGATGATACTCATTTTGGCACTGCATTCTCTAAATCTCCCCAGCAGTTTCTCTATCTCAACCACACTGGCGCGTCTTGATTCCTGATACTGCCTGTTGAACCCCATTGACAAGACCCACTGTCTGATTGTTATCCACTAACCACTTCAAGTCACCCAAACCAAAAACACCCCTCCACAATCCAAGTTCCCTATCATTGCTCCAACTTTAATGCCCAACTTCTTGACTTTTGCAATCATTTGGGTTTTTTCCAATGCAAAATCTTTCTCCACCCAAACCACCTCAACGTTCCTCAAGACCCTATTCATTTCCTTACACTCAATCTTCCTCAAAATCTCCTTAACAAACGCTTCCCGTTCCGAATCATCAACCAAAATCGGATTCACCTTCTCACTCCTCGTCAGAATATCAATTACACGCTTCACTTCTTTGCTGCCTGGATGCCCTTTGTTGTAATCTCGGAGACCCCATCCATTTCCTTATTCTCAATCTTCTACATGCTTGGTGAAGGTATCCGGAGGAAGAGGCAAGGAGCGTCGCCGCCACATGGAGAGGCGTCGTTTGGCCGTGATTCCGACGGTTTGCTTCCGCTATCGGATGGTTCAACACTCTGGCCGCCTCCGACGTGAGGGTCTGTTGGATCGTGCTTAATCCAGCTCTCATTTATTTACCTTTCTTCTTTTTCCCCCTTTTTGGGTATCTATATTCCTCGTTTTATTTATATCGTTTCCTTCTATATATACACACACACCTAGATTTGCATGTTCCAAACAAATTAGTGTTAATGATAATACTGAGTTGAGATAATATAATTTATTTGGGACAAGATAGGTTACAAAATACTCAAATAAAGGTCTCATCTTTTAGGTGTTATTTACATACTGATATTATTTGAGCAATTAAATAAAAACTTAGTATTTTCTAAGCATGTTTAAATAAGAGTTTAATATTTTAAAATGTAAAACAATAATCTAGGGGATCGTTTGGTTTTACGAAATATAATTTTTTTCTTAAAAATAAAAAATATTGAAGAAACCGAAATAATTTTTGGAAAATGAGAACAAAAATAAGTGAAATATGAAAAATAGAAAAGTTGTTTTTAGTATTTTCATTAAAATTCTTTTAAAAATTTGACAAATAAGAAAACACGAGATCTAAATTTTTAACTTAACTTACACAAGTTTAAATCCTTCTAACAATAATTTTTGATGTAATGATATCTAAAATCCTCTAACTTTTACAAAAAAAATGTGACCTCTAAACTTTTTTTTACACTAATAAAAAATTAGTTGACTCTATTTTCATATGTAATGAGGTAAGGGGGAGGTAGGGTAGTAGGCTGCCCCCAACGCAAAGTTGAGAATAGCTTCCGTGAAAGACATCCCTTATGAATTGCCCTCAGTGAGACTCGATCCCACGACCACAAGGTTAAAAGCCTTGCGTTCTACCTCCGTTATGAATTGCGTTTTACACTAATGTGATCTTTAAATTGATTTTTTAAATATTTTAATTGTGTTCTATTTTTATATTTAATATATTAGATATCTTAATAATTGTTTTATATTTTATAATCTCAATTTATATAATTTCTTATTTCTTCTAAAAAATTAAATAAAACATCAAACTTTATATAAAAATCATTATGCTCTCGAACTTAACCAAAAAATCAATTAAATCTATTTATCTATCACGTCATAGTCTATCAAGTACTGTCACAACAATTAAATGATTTATCACATCAATATAATAGATTGTCCTATAAGTTTCGTGAATTGTCTTGTAAGCTCGTGAAGGTCAACATTTGATTTTGTTAGTCAAAGGGTTAAATTGATTTTTTATTCGTTTGAGAGTCACATTTAATGCAAAAAATGTTTAGGGAATACACTAGTGTTTTTTCCCCTTAAAATTTTGAGACTCTCAATTACCACTAAACATATATTTTTTTATTTTAATGAAACTTTTGTGTAATCTTGTTTATAATAATATTTTTATATATTTTTTAAATTTAATTAATGTCAAATATGCATTATTCTTACTATAAACTAAAATAAATTTTGTGTTATGATTTTTTTTATCAACTTTATTGTTTTATATTTGTATAACTCACGTCTTCAATTTATGTAATATTTTTAGGGTTAATTACACGAATGTTCACTTATATTTGTGTCTTATTCACTTTTGATCACTGATTTCAAAAAATATAAGATATGATCACTTTCTTTTTTATTTAATTAAGATATGATCACTTTCGTTTTTATTTAATTAAGATGTGGTCACCCGTGTTAAATGCCATTAAAAAAATTAAATATTTTGATGTAATCACACATTTGGTCCCTTTTATTTGCATATTTTCTCAATTTAGTCATACTTTTAAATAAATTTTAACATAAAATATATATTTTTAAATGAAAATGAAAATAAACTATTTTTAAATTAAATAAATAATGAAATATATTTAATAAGTTAATATAAAAAATATTTTAAAGTTAATATATATATAATTATATTAAATATAATCTGTGTCATGGGTACCTGATTCATAATTTTTTTATATTTTTTTAAATTATATTATTTTTAAAAAAAGTATATAAAAAATTATAAAATTTTAAATTATATATAATCCATATATAAAGTTTAAAATTTGAAATAAAATTTATTAAAAATTAAAATAAAGAAATATAATTAAATTTCAAATGTTTTGACCCGACAAGGCCCTTCTTCACAAACACTTGGGTCGAAACTCCAATGCTTCAGCGGCCGTAGACCTTCAACCCAATTATCATTCCAAAAATCAACACTTTCCTCGTTCCTAATACTCCATCTCTAACGTCATTCCAAACCAAATTGACATCGGTCCATAGTCGCAAGCAGCCTGCTCGAGTGATGGTCAAATGAACTATCTCCAGCATACGATACTTAGCTCGTAGAACACGAGCCTAAAGTTGGAACCTATCAGCTATTAGACGAAACACCGCCTTCATAAGGAAAGCTTCATTTTGCATATTCATGTGCTTAACTCCTAGTCCCCCCAACGAAGCCGGAGTACAAATGTCATCCCAAGGTGCACATTCCTTTTGTCCTCATATCTCCCCAAATGAATTTTCTAACTAACCGTTCAAGTTCATTGCAAATTCCTTTAGGGAGATAACAAGTTTGCATTGCATAAGATGGTAATGCCGCAAGCAACGCCTTCGCCAAAGTTACCCGTCCAGCAAAAGATAAGGTCCTTGCCTTCCATCCACTCAACTTATCTCTAACTTTTTGTACCAGGTACTGATAATTCTCCTTCGAACTCGACTATGCAATAGGGGAACCCCATATACTTGCCCAAATCATCAACACACGTGTAATTGAAACTATCACTGATATCAGCTCGAATGTGGGATGGAACATTTTGAGAGAAGCAAATAGTTGTTTTCGCCACACTCACCTTATGCCCCGAACTATAACAGAAGTCATGGAACACCCTTTGAATAGTATCAAGCTGCTCCAAGGAAGCCTCCGTAAACAACATCAAATCATCCGCAAAAAACAGGTGAGACAAGCTAGGACCATTTTGCGACAATTTGATAGTCTTCCAATCACCCTCATTAACAGCATGGTAGATGGCTTGCGACAACCGCTCCATACAAAGCACAAATAAATAAGGCGAGAGGGGATCCCCTTACCGAATCCCCCTAGATGACTGAAACATCTCAGAAGGTCTACCATTCCACAATACTTCAGTCGTTGTTGTCATTACACAGCTCATGATTAAACTCCTAAGATTTGAAGGTATACCAATGTCCATAATTGTATCCTCAATAAACCTCCAATCCAATCAGTCATAAGCTTTTTCAAGATCTACTTTAATAAGCTTTTTCAAGATCTACTTTAATAACCATCCACTCCTTGGCGATTCTGTGGTCGATCTTGGCCAAGAGGGGTCTTACCCTTGTCATTTTCCTGAGTAACCACCTGACGTGCAACCTTTGGCTGTGAAGAGATATTTGGGTCGGCATTTTCATTCTCTTCTCCCAACGGCTCCAAAGCCAGCACATCAAAGCGAGTGGCTATCTTGGAACTTTCCTTCCGATCCCCTGCCTTAACCTCTTGTGGCTTCCGAGGACGTCGTTTTCGCTTGGGTGCTGCTATCATCCAAGGACCATATAAATCATTCGACTGCTCAGTATTCCTAGGAATCTCCTCCGGAGCGCTTACCTGATCACCATTCACCCAGCTACTCGTTCCCGCAGCTGAAACACCACACAATTCATGTGAATATCCGTAAATCCCATACTTAAAGTAGATATGTGGGAGTCCTTCATATCCAAGCTTCTAGAAGAATCCATCATCAATACCAAATTACCAATATAAGGAAGTAGCGACTTTGTAAGATCCACCATCACTGCAAGCCTCGCGAATCTTCCTTGTTCTCCAGCAT